AATTGGCTGGCAGTGCTGGGTAGATTACTTACAAATTATAGTCCATTACTGAATACAATTTAAATAATGAAACCTGTAGTTAATCTATTGCATTACATCTCTTATGTTTGATTTGATGCATATGTTTTTATTGAATGATGTCACTGTTAATATTTGACTATATCATTTTTTTATATAAAACACTTTGCATATAGAGAACTGCATTTTATGCCTGAAAAGTGCTATATAAATAAAGTTTATTATTATTACACATTTTAGATAATATAACCGGACTACTTTTTGATTACTTTTGACCTAGCTTGTTCATTACATTTGAATAGGATAATCTTGTACCATACTGATATAAAAATACAAAAAAATCATGTTGAAAATTTGTTAACACCATGAAGTGCATAAAATATTACATTATGTCAGGGTTTTGGTGAAACGATTTAGTAAGTTGATGAAAAGGTATTAATAATTCAATTAATTATTAAAACACTAATGTAAAATTAAAAATGTAATTTTTTTTTTACAAAATAAAACAAAAAGTTGGTTAAAATGGTTAAAAACTCAAGTTTTCTGTGTAATTATATCCTATACGAACGTATATAAATAGACTGTTTTAGAAAGGAACATTTAAAAGATATTTTTTTTAGGGACAATCAATGAATTATACTGCCCTTTTGTGAATATTAAGTAATCAAGTTATCAATAAAAATTTAACTGTTGTCTGATTATGAGCATTTTAAAACATAATATAATCCAATTACAAGTATATAATCTTTGGAATCTGATTATGTAATCCAGATTACATGCAATCAGTTACAACCCAGCACTGTTGTCTTCTGTCTTTTTTAACACTAATAATAAAAAAACCTGGAACAATTTAAGAATATTCTGCATTTACATTTGAAGTACACATTCTGTCAAGAGAAAGTGGATAAAAACAAGTTAAATGAACAGCTTCTCAATGTTGGTCTTACCTTAAAAATCCTAAAGTGTTTCTTGCTGTATGATTTGTAATGTGTTGATTTTTTTAAAATGGAGTTCAAGAAAGCATAATCACATGTTCTATCCCTTCCAAATTTATACTGGTTTTCTGTGCAATCTGGAAAATATAAAAAAGAAGCCATATTCAGTGTTGTTATTGTTAACTAAAATGGTTAAAAAAACATTTCTTAAAGCTGCAGTCCGTAACTTTTTTTTTTGTTCAAAATTTACACAATTTATATAATGAGCGAGTACATCATGAATACATTTTCCAAACCGTGTTTTTTTGTCTTATCCGGAATCACTACGGTACACCTATAATAAGTGTTTATTTTTCAGACTCTTTTAGACCTGCGTGTTTTGTCATAGACATAAACAGAGGGAAGTAGCTCCGGCTACAATGTTCATCCGCAAGATGCATACAGTTTATTAAAGCTGCCGTCGGCAACATTTTTTTTTTATCATATTCAGTGAAATCGACACTATAATCCGACAGAACAACATAAATAAAGTGGTTTTAGAAAAAACCCGAGCTTCTAACTCCACCTGGAGCGTGTTTGCAAAAACCCACCGCTCCAGGATCATCGGGTCCAATCAGCGTAGGGGGGTGTGAGATCTGACTGTCAATCACAGATCGGGCACACGCCACCCCTCGCGCACGTTACAATCACATGCACACGCCTGAAGTTCGAGCAGTAACGAAGAGTGATGGCGGAAAATCAAGTAAGCTCATTTAGAGTATAAATGACGTTAGCAATTGCAATCTATCGGTAGATTAGCCAGGGCAGCATACCTCCAAATAATCCATGGTGTTGATGGATGCTGATGAGACGGCGCGTTCACAGATAACCTGGTGCACACGCACTGACGTTGATAGTGGGGGAGGGCCATGAGAGTTGTAAACATTCAAAATTTTGCCTAAGTCCACTCAATCTGCCAGACTTGCCGACTGCAGCTTTAACCGCTAGAGCGCCACAAGTTACGGAGTGTGGCTTTAATTGAAATAAAATCTAAATAACTGATGAAAAACTTAAACTTACAAAATCTAAATGAAAATTAGAAATGTCGCCTTGGCAACTAAGTGATACAAGTTAGTAACTTGCAGCTCCAAGGTGCAACCACTTCCACGTGGACTTCTAGGCGACTCTGTCAGCCGCCAGACCTTCGAGGGATGTTACTGGGATGCCACAGGCCTTCAGTATAAATTTCAGATGATCTACATTTTTTAGGGCGACCACAGTACGTAGTCCCTGCAGGGGCTCACCATACAGCAGCTGCAGTGGCATCCGGTCAGAGGACAATCTGATAACATGACGGACGCAGCACAGCGCTTCTAGTGCTTTGACATGGTGGCGATAGGGGGTCCAGGTTTCGCAGCCGTAAAAAATAGGTAAATTGCTTTGTACACTCCGATCTTGGTTGACAAGGCCAAAAGCACATAAAACAATACTAAAATGTTTTAAAGCGGCAATCCGTAACTTTTTTGGGTTAAAAATGAATCAAATTAAAATCAACATCGCTACAGTATATCGCTACAAAATCAATTATTGAGCAAGTACATCACCAATCATGGTTCAAAACGTTCCCCCTAAACGGATGCTACGTTAATTGCATTACATATTTTAAAATAATATTCTATATTTTAAATATTTTTGTGAGAGAAAAAAAGTCAGAATTGCGATTCGCAATTACCTTTTTTAGTTTTTGGGCGGAAACAAGCTTCCATAGTTTTTAATACCACTCTTTTTCTTCTCAAAAACACTTGTGACACTAAATAAAATGCTTTAAAATTCACGTTTGCTCGCTCCATAGCGCTCACATTATTCAGTTTCTTCAAGCAAGAACACGATACACTTAACTGAGCACATTGAATCCATGCACCAGGGGAATGATCCGGCCCCACACATGAGGCTGGGCTTCCTCCTGGTCTTCAGGAATAGATTGGAGTTCTTGTACAGGTAATGTATCCACAGAACTAAGCGTCCCTGATCCTGAGGAAGAGCCCTGGCTTGACGATGTTGGGCCGGATGAGGAGCTGGATCCAGGTTGGGATTGGGTTTGGGACTGGGACTGGCTCTGGGATTGGGATTGTGATTGACCACTGGGTCCAGGTTCGTCAGACATTATGTATTTAACTCTGGAAGAACAGACAGCAAAATGAACAAAATTTCAACAACAGTCTAAAACTCATATGCAGAGTATGATTAAAGCCCAAAAATTCACATAATTCTGCACAATATACATTGAACATGATAAGCGTTTCAAACAGTATAGCCATGTTACATTTTTGTCATCAACATGTTGCATGTGATTTCTAGTTGTTTGTGAATTGAAAAAGTATGTTTAATAGAATGACATGAGCACAAACAATTTCTGACAATTTAATATTTTTTATCCGAGCATAAAATTCACAAAAGAAATTGACATGACTTGTTCAGGCCTAGAATTGTTTTTAAAATGTTCTGATATTTCCAGGTTTCCTATGACACAGATATGTGAACTGTATACAGTAAATACTAATTACTACTATACTAGTGTGCGATTTTGAACATATCCAGGTCATTTTGCAGTGCTTCAATGGCTTGAGAAGGTTTGTTGTAGCATATTTTGTTTTATATTCTAGTTATAACAGATCATACAAAGAACATCAAACAAACACACTTTTTACTTACACTAATCCCATTTACTAGAGTGCTTTTAAGGTGTTCAATGCACCACACTTTTCAATTTCACATGTTTTCAACTAATGACCCTTCCATAAAACCCAAATGTGAAAGTGCATACATTTTACAAGCAACAATTTCACCGATAACTTAGAAATTGGCTCTAAATTATATTCCAATTAATTTCTCTGCAAATAATGTATTTAATACGTTGCCTTTAAAATATAACAATCATTTCTCCTTTAATGCAGGAGAGTACCTGGAATTTAATCAAGGTGAAATGATTGACACATTATTGAAAGATGTTCATTAATAATGTGCTTTGAAGGAAATTAACTGCTTTAACGTCATGTGACCTTTCAGAGTTCAATATCTGAAAGACTTTAGGTCGGACTAATTTCATGCACCACCGACTCTCATGCAATCAAATTAAACTTGGTAAAGAAACAGATTGATGAGCCAAGGAAAATAAACAATACTTATGTATTTACTGCGGATAAAGTCACTTTGCTGGTTCAAATGTGCATTACTCTATGAAAGCACGCGGATACAGTGCAAATAAGAACTGCACTGTAACGGAGGCACGAGCGATAGAGGAAACTAACTGCTTATTTTCAGAAGAAATATTCATTAATAGAGCATCCATGTGTCCGTCATTTCATCTAATTTTGCTTTTCATTTCTTATCGCAATGCATACCTTAATCAAGTCCTCTTTTTAAAAGTATCAAAGTTGCAGAAGTGGGTTATGCAGGCCGCGTGAGCTGCTCATCAAATCTGCCGGGAAAAGCCACTCACTTCCATCCATGAACTTCCCATAACATCATTCCGCCAATCAGAAACGAGAGTAAAGGCTCATGGGAAATGCGGTTTATAAAACATTCCAACATTCGATTAAAATAAAGTACACATACAAGGGTACCTTAGTAGATATAATTCAGAATAGGTAACATTTAGAAATATAGATGAAAATATAAGAAAATAAACGCAACAACGTCCATCGTAAAACAAATAGGGTGCAAAAAGGGTTTACCACACCTTCTCAAATAAAATGTATATTTGAATTTTACTTACTATATTCTAATGTGGAAGGGAAAATTAATCTTTGAGTTAACGAAATCTTTGAGTTAATAAATCTTTATTTTAAAGCATGTTTTTTTTATCTTGTCATAAAATGACTCATCACAGATCCTGTCTCATCCTAGCAATTACAGTCATTACTCACAGATAACTACAAAAAATGAATATAATACAATAAGGTCGCTTAAATTCGACGAAGCGGTTTAAAATTACAAACTTTTATTTTGACAAATGATTGCTGTTCATGACAGGAAGTAGCGCAATATTATATATTGGCCCCGGCCCGTTTACTCTCTGTGTTAACCATGATAACTCTATGCAGGCTCCGATTTCTGTCAACATCTTTCGGATTTAATCACGCACACAAATGTATATCAGACGGACACCGTCTTAACATTGTCGTACAGTCGTGTTTTGCTCCAGAAAGAGCGACCAGCTCTTACAGTAAAGACGTTAATCACTGGAATGCAGTTAAAGGAAGTTTGCATCTGAAATCATTCAGCACTGTTACACTCAACAGACTCTGTTGGAACTGCGGATCTTCAGCTGCATTATTTTTCTGTTCCTCCTGTAATGCGATCCAACCTGCTGATGACAAGACTAATTATTTTGACATTTTGAATAGGTGAGTAAACTTGTGATTTAGTTTATACATTTTTGTTATAGTAACAATGCATCACTTATGGAGTCATTGTTGCTTATTCTCTGTCTTCTTGGTTTTGAACTTCCAAAAAGTTGCTTTCTTTATTTACTTTCATTCCTCAAAATGCATAACATTGTTGTCATATAATGTACTGTATATGATGTAACGTTAGCTGCTAGTAGTTGATAATTACACTGATTCAGAACTGTACAGATACAGATTTTGGTTTCAGAGCTTTAGACTAGAAAATGTCATTGTATTTCAACTTAATTATAGTTCACATCCTGACATATATGTAACTGAACATATTTGTCTTTTCTCAGTGAGCAAACATTTTCTTTGGACACCCAAAAACTTCAGAAAAGATACTTGGAGCTGCAAAGATCTCTTCATCCTGACAACTTTGGCCAGAAATCATTGGTAATGGACTATATTCAGGGCTTGACATTGACATGGCGTGTAACACAGTCACTCCTACGAGACACTTTGGCGGGTTGAATTTTATATATAATATACACAGTTTTCAATTGTAGTCTTTTAAAAAGGCATCTGAAATAATAAACTAAGTGCAATAGTGTTGTCAAAAATATTTTTCAATACATATCAATACTGAAATATCTAAAACGCTTCCAATACTAATTTTCCGCAGAACAAATACATGTTACCAGCTGGACTTTCTCTCTCTCTCATCTCTCATCTCTCCATAATTTTACTCATCCCCGCAGATTCTGTGCTCACACCCAAAGTGCAGCACATAAAGCCAACTCTCAGTACTAAAAGTTCTTTTTCTCTTCTTATTGCGCTGAAACAGTCAAATACACATAAAATAATGTCAAAATGCGGGTCTTGGCAAGTATGCCAAGTAAACACGTTTTAAGTAAATGTAAACAGTTGAGAAATAAAACGCATGTGTAACAGTATAATGGATCTGGGTCAGGTCTTAAAGTGACAGCAGCCTAATATACCTGCTGCCAAATTATGAGATAATATAAAAAATATCTATATGTTGTTTTTTTCCCATTGTATCGATGTCAAAATTGTGGCCAGAGAAAATGCTGAGTGGCTAGTAACTTTGGAAAACCACTCATAGAAAAGATTTAACCTTTTATGAGGAACATTTGAACCTTTTATTTTTCAGCTTTTTTGTACTTTTTTTCCTATTGAATATTTCAAACAAAAAAATATTTATTTATACTAATTTATACTATGCATTTATACACTGATGAGCCAAAATATTACCATGATCTCCTGCCTAATATGCCATTGGTCCCTCTGCGTGCTGCCAAAACAGCGCCGACCTGCCGAGGTCTGGACTCTACAAGACCTCTGAAGGTGTCCTGTGGTTTCTGGCACCAAGATGTTAGCAGCAGATCCTTCAAGTCCTGTAGGTTTTAAAGTGAAGCAGCCGTGGTTCGAACTTGTTGGTCCAGCACATCCCACAGATGCTCAATTGGATTGAGATCTGGGGAAATTAGGGCAACACCTTGACCTCCTGATCATGTTCCTCAAACCATTCCTGAACAATGTGTGCAGTGTGGCAGGGTGCGTTATCCTGCGGTAAGAGCCCACTTCCATAAGGCAACACCATTGTCATGAAGGGTGTACCTGGTCTGCAACAATGTTTAGGTAGGTGGCCTGTGTCAAATTTCTATATGCAGTGAGGTTGTGATACATCTTCCCATTAAAATAATGTGACTTCTGCCACAGTAAACCATCTGTTGGCTCAGACCAAACGGGATAGTCTTCGTTGCACTTGTGTCGCCGTACCAACACCCTGTCGTCGGTTTGTGGTTTGTCCCTCTTCGACCACTGTTGGTAAATTCTCACCACTGCTGACCGGGAGCAACACACAAGCCTTGCTGTTTCAGACATACTCTGACCCAGTCGCCTTCTCATAACAATTTGGCCCCTGTCAAAGTCGCTCAGATCTTTATTCCTGCATCTAACAAGTTGTTTACGTGAACGGATTGTTTGCTTACCATGTAATCTACCCAGACCTTAATATGTGGCCTTGTTAGGAGATGATCAACGTCACCTGTGACTGGTGTTACGTTCAGAGACGTATTATTATTATCATAGTGTTTTGGCTCATCTATATATGTGCATATGTGTATATACACACACACACACACACACACACACACACACACACTCATTCAAGTTTTTTCTTTCTCTCTTTTTTGAAAGAAATTAATACTTTTATTTAGGAAGACAAAAATTAAATTGATCAAAAGTGACAGTAAAAATTGATGAAATGTTACAAAAGATTTCCATTTCAACTAGAAAAAACTTTCTTTTGAAAAAAAAAACATATCACAGTTTCCACAAAAATATTAAGCAGCAACTCTTTTCAACATTGATAATAAGAAATGTTTCTTGAGCATCAAATGAGCATATTAGGATATATATACACATACACACACACATATATATATATATACATATATACACTCAGCTAAAGGATTATTAGGAACACCATACTAATACTATGTTTGACCCCCTTTCGCCTTCAGAACTGCCTTTATTCTACGTGGCATTGATTCAACAAGATGCTGAAAGCATTCTTTAGAAATGTTTGAGTTGATGGAGATTTGTGGGATGCACATCCAGGGCACGAAGCTCCCGTTCCACCACATCCCAAAGATGCTCTATTGGGTTGAGATTTGGTGACTGTGGGGGCCATTTTAGTACAGTGAACTCATTGTCATGTACAAGAAACCAATTTGAAATGATTCGAATTTCGAGCTTCGTGACATGGTGCATTATCCTGCTGGAAGTAGCCATCAGAGGATGGGTACATGGTGGCCATAAAGGGATGGACATGGTCAGAAACAATGCTCAGGTAGGCCGTGGCATTTAAACAATGCCCAATTGGCACTAAGGGGCCTAAAGTGTGCCAAGAAAACATCCCCCACACCATTACACCACCACCACCAGCCTGCACAGTGGTAACAAGGCATGATGGATCCATGTTCTCATTCTGTTTACGCCAAATTCTGACTCTACCATCTGAAAATCCCAGTAACTGAGCAGATTGTGAAATACTCAGACCGGCCCGTCTAGCACCAACAACCATGCCACGCTCAAAATTGCTTAAATCACCTTTCTTTCCCATTCTGACATTCAGTTTGGAGTTCAGGCGATTGTCTTGACCAGGACCACACCCCTAAATGCATTGAAGCAACTGCCATGTGATTGGTTGATTAGATAATTGCATTAATGAGAAATTGAACAGGTGTTCCTAATAATCCTTTAGGTGAGTGTATACACACACACACACACACACACACACACATATATATATATATATATATATATATATATATACAGTATATGATATCTGATATATATATAAATTAGTTTTTTTTTAATTCCCATTGTTGTTAATGGTGATTCTCAATTATTTTTTATTTAAATGAGCAGAAATGAATGATAATCACTATGATGAACATGTTAGATTCACCTTCTAACTATTTTCTTTAGAAACGTTACTATCACACTCTGTAACCAATGTCCAGGTCTATTTTGCTCAGATAAAAGGTATACAGCACATCATTGTTCATATAAGGCAGGCAGCAGACAGTTGTGATTGGTTCATGCTTTGCGTGTCCGGTTGGGTCTCCTGACAGCAACAGCAAGCCGGATGTGGATTCTCCAGGCTTTGGCAACTCTGACAGCTGAAAATGTTTCTCATCTGCAAGTCATTTCTTTCTTTTCTCACCTCGTATTTCACCTGACGAATCCCATCACAGCTCAGACCCTCTGCGTCTGCCCACACAGCGAGATCCTTCAGGGAAAAAAAACCCACACAATTATCAGCATTGCTGGGGTTTCTCTTTTTGACAATTCTCCTCATTCCCAAGAGGAAATCCTTACCACAAACAAAGAACATGTCATGATGATATCTTAAAATGAATGTGACGATAGCACATAATTATATAACGCTTGGAAAAGTTAGAAAACTTGGGCTGAGGATGACTATATGAGTATAAGTATTTTTTATTGTACCACACATCCTTTGTTACTCCATAAAATCACAATATTCTTTAAGTTGCTTTATACTTTGGAGCTTTGTGTATTTGTGCGATTTGTGCCTTTAGGGGCTGTTGAAATTGTTTTTGTAGCTCATAAGAAGAACGACTTTAATTTGGAATGACTTTGTGGTCTGATCCTATTTACAGAAAGAGCAGGAATATTCAGAAGAACAATCAGCACTGGTGAACAAAGCCTACAGAACCCTGCAGAAACCTCTGAGTCGGGCCGTCTACATGGTAAATATTTTTTTTTAGTAAATATTCGTTGTGTTTATGGCATCCGTAGGTCGTATACTGGCCCAAAAAATATTTGGACACATAAGCTACACTTAAATTGAATCTAATATGTACATTTTATAAGAAGAAATTTAAAGGAAATACCCAAGCATACTCAAACAATGGATATACTGTTCAATATGAATATATTGTGACACTTAAATATTTGTGAATCATTTATATATATATATATATATATATATATATATATATATATATATATATATATATAAGATATTATCTATATAATCTATATATTTTTTTTGCACAAAATGATAAGGAAAAGTGTGGTAGAGAGAAAAGCTCCTGCAGTGCAAATTACATTTCCTACTTGTATTTGATATATTAGAATCAAATACAATAACATTAAAAAAAAAATTGGAATAGTTCACCCATAAGACTTTTATTCATCTTTGCAAGACAAATGAAGATATTTTTAAAGAAATCTGAGAGATTTCTGCCCCTCCATTGAGAGTCGATTCACCCAAAACTCTGACGGTTCAAAACGTTCATAAAGAGATCACAAAAGAAATCCATTTGAATCAAACCATTTAATCCAAGTCTTCTGAAAAGACATGATCACTTTATATGATGAACAGCACCCAAATATGGTAAACAAAAGCTCAAGCATGCTTGCTTGATGTGTGATCAATTAATCGCATCTAACATAAAAGTCTGTGTTTACATAATATGTGTGTCTATATATTTCTGCGTGTACGCGTGTCTGTGTATTACACACACACACACACACACACACACACACACACACATATATATATATTTTTTTATAAATATATTTGTGTCTATATACAGTATACACAAACACACATTTGTAATGTGTGTAATATATATAATATATATATAAATATAATAATACACATACACATATATTATGTAAACCAGACTTTTATGTAAGATGCGATTAATCGATTTTACAGCCCTATTACGCAGCACGTTTGAGTCTTCAAAGTTTTGTTCTCATGTGTCAAGCAAGTACGGTTGAGCTTCTGTTTACCGTATTTTAGTGCTTTATAGCTGTATCTGAAATCACACACTTCCCTACTTTATAGTAGGGGAAAAACAGTATGTGACAAAAGTAGTATGTTCAAATTCGCTGTACTCATAAAACAATAAGCAAAAAGTACCCAGATGACCTACTTCTTCCATTGAGATTCTGAAGTATGGACACTTTACTATCCCATCAGGCCACGGGAGAGGATTTGTGAATGTACGGTGAATCACAGTAAAGTGACGTAACTGATGCTGGTAGGTCACATGATAATGACAGCATGGCGGATGTACTACATCTTGATTATATTCATACTGCGCACATTTTAGCGGTCGTGAAGTAATTACTTATTCAAAATAAGCACCTACTCAAGCGAGTATGCTATTTTAGATGCAGCCTATGTATGTTTGCTAATCGATGTTTAAATGTGTATCAAAGCCTAAATTCAATCTGTTCATTAAATAAAGCGATCATGTCTCTTCAGAAGACTTGGATTAAACCGCATATGGATTCAATTTTATGAATGTCATTAGAATTTTGGGTGAATAGAGTTTCAATGGAGGGACAGAAATCTCTCAGATTTCATTGTGTTTTGAGATAAATGAAAGTCTCACGGGTTTGGAACGACGCGAGGGTGAGTGTCCCAACTAACCCAAATATTGTTGCCATTTTCTATATTCACAGAAAAGTGAATTCAGTTTATCAGTGTATGCTATCTGGAAAAACATGCGCCCTATGTATGCAGTTTCTATGACTATTGAATCTAATATTGTAGTCTGTTATGACTGCTGCCAAGAGGCCGTAGTGCTGTTTGAGTCGCGCTTTACCCTCTGTAACCTGCATGTTCTGCTCCAGCTGGAGCTGCAAGGGGTTTTGCTGGAGGAGGGAACGGACGCCACCGCGGACCCCGCGTTTCTCCTAGAGGTCATGGAGATTAACGAGAGCCTCGCAGAGACGCGGAGCCAGGACGAGGTCCATGCCATCGGGCAGTCGGTGCGAGGTGTGTAGGCCAGAAAGAAAAGCTCCAACCGGAAGTGACTGCTGAAATGTTGCTCTGCACCCACTCATGTTTATGTGACCGTTTGCTGCCCTAGATTCATTCCATCCGAAAGTTCAAGGTTCTGTGGTTTTATGCTTAAACATTGTGGTTGTCGGACTTGTTTGTGAAAGGATGGTAGCACTTCTGCTGTTTTTTTGATAGTGTGTTTTACTTCTTTTCTCCAGAGAAACTGAAAGGCTTGATTGAACAGATGAATTCATCCCTAAACAAAGGTATTTTTCACTCTTTCTTTTCATGACCTCCCAAATTTGACAGAAATACACCGCATGCGAGTGGAAAATAGCTTGTTTTTGTGTTCGCCTCACGAGCCTCTTTTTCTCAGGGGATCTGCTGACCGCCAAAGGGCTTTTAGCCCAAATGAAGTACTTCACAAATATAGAGGAAAAGGTAAAAGACAGAATTACTGAGGTTTGCTGAGGGAAAATTGTAAACAATATGCAATTGTAATCCATCTGACACAGCTCAGTGAGAGATTTCACGCTTGTACTCTGAAGATTTTATAAAAATATTTATTGTTATTAGTACGAATTGTTGGATTATTATTGGTTACTGAATAAAGTACATTTATTTTAATCTTCTGTCAATTTTTATTGTGTTAGCAACAATAATAAGCCCTGTCCGTAGCACTTATCTTAGTACTTTGGGTAATCCCAACCCTATGGCCCTGTTTACACCTGGTATTAAGAAGCGTTTTGGTCGATCGGATCACAAGTAGCCGGCGCTAAATACAGGTGTAAACAGGGTCTAAAACGTTTTGAGCTTGTCTTCCAGAGGTAGTCGAAAATATATTCGTCCGGATTGCTTTAATAGTGTAAACGCTCATGTGTTCGAACAGCCACAAAAAAACGTCTACTCTCCGTCTACTGACCAAATGCGTAAACATTATAGGAAGAGCGCTAGCCAGACGGGATTTAAACTTTGTCGGCTGGAGACCCAAGTCTTTTTTTGAAGACGAAAAACATACCAAGCACAATGTTCTCTCACCGTTCCTGATTTCTAACACACACTCACAGCGTTCGGCATGATCTTGCAGCCGTCAGAGCAGAAATGAAAGTCATCTCCTGTTATGTTCTTATGTAAAATTGCGCAAGCTTATTTTCCATTAGATCTAAAGATCTGAAAAAAAACCCATACATTTCCCCACCCATAGCCCCTCCCCTCGAAGAAATCTGGACAGAAGTGGTTTAAAGGTGAACTAAGTAACTTTTTTACCTTAACTGAACAGCTTTGGAGTCATTGTAATGTTTATATTACTGATTTCGTGTTGAATGGTGGTCGTCTCGCACCCCCCTGGTGCCTGTGAGCCGCAAAACCACCCTTGCAACTTTGGGCCGGCGGGCCGCCCAAATATCGTGTGATATCAGGTCTCGCGAGGTAACGAATTGCTTTACGGCAAAAAACAGATCTGATAAAATTCTGATAAAATTCTGATAAAATGAGCATCAAACAGATATAACCCGGTGCCGTATACATGTGGTGTTGGGCGCGCAGCTCTTAAAGGGGCCATACCTTATTTCCACTCGTTACAGCGTCCATCCTACTGAACAGGTACCGGTGTACAGGGGGAGGGGATCCGGCCGTGAGTGCGAGCCATCTCTGCGTGAGTGCTATTCACGACAGTACAAGTACTCCACAGAGACTCTAGGGGTCGCTGTTTGACAAAAACGGAATTCCTACTTAGTGCTGCTTTAAAGTGGACAAAAGAGACAGATTAAAACACCAGGTGTAAACGGGAATATGTCTAACTCGCCTACTTGTGATCCGATCGACCAAAACTCATCTTAATACCTGGTGTAAACACAGGGCCTAAGTGTGTGTAATAGTAGTGGCGATGCTTCCATTCGCAAACTCTGCTAATAATAACACTTGCAAACATTCTCTTAGATGGCGTTCCATAAAGAAAGTGTACATTTCCCAAGACAATACTTTTGCTTTCAGCGTCAAACCGCGATTGGCTGATGCCACTCTTATTTGGGTCTGGTCTTTTGGGAGAAGCGAGGAAACAGGAAACCCACAAAATGATGAAACCACTACAGTTATAAAACGAAACTGTGCAAGACAACAAGATTCATTTAGCTCAATCCCTGTTTGAATCTTTAATGCTACTTTCTAGACGTGCAATCTCTGCGGTGCGCTTTGTGATAAATGCGTCTTATTTCTCTCTAATGTGGGCTGATTCATTAAATTGTAATTGGAGCTGGTTTTGTGCTAGATGATGACATTACTCTGGACACAGTCTGACATCGGTCTCTTATTAGATAGCGCTTCGACAGAATTTCTTTATTGCGCCAGTTTGTACAGTCGCTTATGATGTGGTATGAATTAAATTACATCCTAACACACTTATCGATCCAGGATTTATGAATGTGTGTGTTTATGTGAAAGGCAGCGTCAGGGAGGGAGAACCAAGGTGTGATTTCTAGAACTGAAGATGCCTCGTTTGAGCTGTAGGGGGAAGCATGTCACCTCACTATGGAGAATGTAGGTAGGCAGAAAAACTCACAAAGGGTGTAAATTGTGTTTATGAAATGCTTGTTCTTAAGCATGCATATTCCTCTTGTAATGAGGAGCATCGCTTGAGTAGATTTTAAATTACTGTGTTCCAACACTTTGAATTAAATATGTATAGAAGGCATGGTTTTTAGTTCCCTTAAGATGGAAAATCAGTTGCAATTCTTCCGTTTTGTGCTTTTTTTTCCCTTCACTGATCAATAATTGTACATTTAATTAGTTGTGTTCTCTCAGACACACACTTTAGCACTATCTCTCACACTTAGGGTTTTATGGTATGGACATGAATGATACCTCAAATCATGTGGCTTGTTGAGAAATGCATTTCTGAGTTTCTCTGTGATTGTACTTATAAACTTCACAAAATGGTTGAAAGAAATCCCACAGATTTAAACTTAGGGGCTGAACCCATTATTTATTTTACAGAAAAACACGGAAGAAATGCAGCATTACCGAAAACCTTACAGAAATGTCACCTTACACTGTAAATGGTTTAACATTGCATTATAGTATGTAGTTTTATGGGAAAATACTATCAAATGTATGGTTTTTGCAAGTAAAAAACTAATGAATTACCATATAATTTACAGTGAGAAACCGTAAAGGAACATTCCCAGAAGTCCTTATGTGACGCATCAGATGTGGATGGAAGGCCATTTCCGCCATAATAAGAAAAACATAAAAAATCACGCTCTGGTAAGTCAAAAATATGACGTAAAATATCAAATTGATGACAGTCATAATTACGAGATAAAAGTCAAAATTATGACACAGTCAAAATCAACATCATGACTTTTTCTCAAAATTTCAACTTTTTAAGTCATAAATCGTATTTACTATATCATAATCATAAGTCATAATTTAGATTTTTTTTAAAGTCATAATTACTACTTTGTATGTCATAATTTAATCTTTTTTAATATTGTCATAATAATGACTTAGAGCATGATTTTTCTTATTAATTTTGTAAAGTAATACACTTTAGGGTGTTTTGTTAAATTTTCTGTTCAAATTTTTTGTTTCTGTTAATTTAATGTTTTTGCATTATTTTAACGTCATTAAAGTATCGGCCATGTTTTATGGCCTCTGAAGAACTATGATTTATGTGGCTTTCTTATTATGGTGGTTGTCTGTACATTTTAGTGTAGATTTTGGTAGATCAAGTATATTATATTAACATTTTATCACTTAATAAAATATATGGTGATAAGTTTTAAAATGGCACCAATATGCCATTTTGCAATACCTGAAGCATTGTCACCATATATATATATTTTTACAGTGAATTTCCATTTTTTCTGTAAATTAAACAGGATTTTTATTTACAGTCTAGAGACAAAGGCTCAGGAATAAGCTATTATGACTTTAAGATAGATGCCACCTAGCAACTAGTCAGAACTCCTTAGCAACTGCATAGAAATGCCTTGGCAACCACCGAAGTGACAGCATAATTTGCAAATGCAAGAACCAATCAATGTTTGTGGTGTTAAAAATGAAGGCCTTATAAACAAAGATCACGATGACTTTGCGTTTTTGAACCCAGCTTTGTCTCTAAGCTGGTACTGTAGAAATGATCATAATTTAAAGTGAAAGTCCAGCTGCATCATCAACTCAAAGGCAAAGAAACAAGGACAGAAAATTCATTGGCGGTTAGAAAACATCTTAGACATGCCACTTTGCATTTAATCTTTAGTTTAAGCCCGTGTAACACCACTGGAGCATTGCCCTGTGGATGTCCCGCTGAAAACAGGACTTGACTCGCTTGTTTATTAAGTCAAGAACCACAGTGTCACGATTCTAAGTCTTCCACGCAGGAGACGCCATTTCCTTAATACATGTGAATTAAACCACAGACAGAGAGAAAGAGAAAGAGGGAGGAAATGTGGCAATCTGATTATTATTCATCCTGTAATCGGAAGGCATCTCCAGCCCTGGCGAATTAATGGGAAAACATGATCGACCAGTTCTGAAGCCACTGCTGTCTTCACGTTGTCTTTGAAATTGGTTTGAAAGCAAAAAAAAAAAGGATGTGTGAAAAATGGATGGTGGGCAGGGAAGAGAAAAACAAGTGAAACTTACTTTTAAGTTTAAAGGGTTAGTTCACCCAAAAATGAAAATTTCATAACTTTTGGGCCGGCCAGTTTCGATCCCTTAAGAAGCCTATGGAGGAGTGATCCAGCTCTCAGATTTAATCAAAAATATCTTAATTTGTGTTGCGAAGATGAACGAAAGTCTTACGGGGTTGGAACAACATGAGGGTGAGTAATTACTGACCGAATTTTCATTTTTGGGTGAACTAACCCTTTAAATGTTGTTAAAGGTGAAGTGTCTTTACTCCACTATCAACAAATATGATTAATGACAGGTTTCCTCTCTGCCTTTGGTTTGACAAACAGATCGTCTTGTGCAAAACACATACCACCGGTTGCGGTTTTGGGGCTGGTATGAATGTTTTAAATGTACCACAGAGTCATAGTATTTACGATTGTTGTGTTTTATGCAGAAAGTACTTTAAAATGTAAAATAAATAAATAAATGCAATCACATTTAAAGGCACAAAATGTAATAACTTTTGGATTAAAACATCCAAAAACCACTAAAACAATGTTATATATTTTGTTGACTGGTGTACTCTTACTTACATTATCCCAAATGTTTCCAACAAAGTTTAAATCCAGAGAAATCATCTATTTTAACCAGTGTAAAGGTCTGTGTCATTGATATCATGTCCGCTCTATACCCTCGACTTTCGGTTTTACGGGTGAGCAACTGTTTCAATGCTTTTATCGACAGAAAACTAATCATTGTTATATAGTTCGACACGGTTAGTCTTATTGTTTGAGTCTAATGTTTTTATTGATTTAACATGTTTGTACTGTACCATGCCTCGGAGACAGTGCTATTTTGTCAGGTGGCTAACATAGCATGATCAGCAAGAGCTTTATTTGTAGGAACAGTAATACAGCCCTTCCTCCACCATACAATATATTTTAAAATTAATTGCATTCCATTTAGCAACACAAGTCATCCAGCTTTTATTAATATGATATTCTAATTTCAAT